CTATTTTGATCTTGTGCTGTTTTAATAACAGTTTTACGGCAGTTGCAATACAATAAGGTTATATTACGAGACGAAGATTAGAGGTGTTACAGTGGAGTAACAAACAGAAAAAGAAGAATAAATCAGGACGATAGCCGTTTCATTGGCGCTCATTATTATGACCTTAATATGCAGTTGCGAGCGCCGTAAAACCCTCTACTATAAAAAAAAAAGACGTTTTATAGACAAGAAAGAGAAAACAACACCAGAGTACCCGTGAACCATCCACGCATTTTGGTCAGACGTTTACAATATTGCGGAGTGTGAGTGGGCGGATTCCTTCATTTGTGAGGCGTGGTGGAATCAGGCTCTCGTCAAAATAATCAAAGTGAAGAAACTTGCATTTTTCCACAGTTTTGTGAATTTTTATCAAATTTTTGTTTTTTGGCTCAACGCCTTTCATGCCCATTTGAAAACTCTTTTTTAAGTAGATTTTTCTGAAAAGCGTTGATGAAAGGCACAAAAATGTAAATTTTCAGTTACCATGGACTCTTAAGCTGAGAAAATAACTAATCTTTGGAGGCCATTTTCTTACTAATTTTACCTCTGAAAACAGGTGACCCCCACCTCCTTCTTTCGCAAATATTTCGGCTTGTATTCAAGGTAAATGTATATTTTTTAAAACTAAATAAAGACAAGTGAATGAGCTTAAGATGATAACAATAACTCTACATGCCCAAAAATTGACGAGAGCCTGATTCCACCTCGCTGCCTTACATGTTGTAGTGTTGTCTCGATCAAAGACTTTTGCGATGATAAAGATTATAATTGACACATAAGTTCTCACAGCAAGAGACAAAATGTAAATAATATTGTTATTTTAATGAAATGTAAATAGCTGATTGTTGATACGGTGAAAGTTTTTACCATAAAGTGTTCAACCATTTAATCTGATCATTGATCAAGACCAACCCGTAATTTATGTGAATGAAACCAACTTGTGTTTCGCGCGCACATTATTGTAAACGCATGCCGCTGCAAGCGCCGCAAAACTCTTACTTAACTAAACTAACAAGACGAGAAAAATAGATGGCCAAATGATGGACATGTTTATATCAACATTTTTTTTTCGTAAACCACCATCTAAACCAGAAAACATCGCAGTTGACCGGCCACTAAACTGGCAAAAAGTCATCTGTGGGCTCTCGTAGCCTAGAGGTTAAGGTGTTGGCCTCTCATTCAAAGGTCCTGGGTTCGAATCCGGGTTGCGAATCCGGGTAGCGATCGAAAAAAATTTCTTCTCTAAAATTGGCTTCTTTCACCTCCTTTCCTGCTCTCTAGCAATATTCTGTCGTCTGCTTTCGTCTCCTCTTTCTGCCCCCA